CCTAAGGGCTTTCTAGAGCCACTCCTGACATCGACTCGCTTATTCTGGGTTCTCCCCAGCTAAGTAGCTGAGACAAGTCTTCTGTGTAATAGTTTAATTGTTGATTCCAGGGAAGAGAAGTGAACCACCAGGAAGAGTGAGAAATGGGAGGGATATATATATATATACATTACACACTTCACATATATAACACGTGTGTAAAATATATGCTTTCTAGAGCCACTCCTGACATCGACTCGCTTATTCTGGGTTCTCCCCAGCTAAGTAGCTGAGACAAGTCTTCTGTGTAATAGTTTAATTGTTGATTCCAGGGAAGAGAAGTGAACCACCAGGAAGAGTGAGAAATGGGAGGGATATATATATATATACACACACACACACACATACATACATACATTACACACTTCACATATATAACACGTGTAAATGTATATGTGTGTATATAATATATATGTTCCACCCCCACCCACTTGGTTCCATTATCAGGTCTCCCTCGAGTCAAAAAGTTTGCCCACCCCTGTCCTAGACTCCCTCTGGACTAGTGTGGGAGAGACCCATGAGCTCCTCGCGCCGAGGCTTCCCTTCTTGTGGGATGTCCTCCTAGACTCCCTCTGGACTAGTTTGGGAGAGACCCATAAGCTCCTCAATCATGACACTGACAAGAATTCACTTTTATTAAGTGCCTATCATATGCCAGCATGACTCCCATTTAACTCTCTCAAGAAGCTCATGAGGGGTATACTCTGTTTACATTCTTATCCTCGGTGGAAACTCCATTTTCCATTAACACATTAAGCGCCCTGTCAGTCACCGATGGACACTATACTTTCCGTCCGGAAGACAAAACAGGCTGGCGCTTAACGTTGGCCAAAGGATGCTGGCTGTGATCCCAGGAAACCTGGTTAGAGCCTGTGCTCACGGCACTGCTTGCCCCCTTTGTTTCTGCGTTAATATTCTGTGTCAAGAAAATAACGATCGCCGCATTCAATCACCTATCTTCGCCCCTGACTGTACGCTGGACACGGAACAACTCTGACTTGCCAACCCCTGAATTTCAGACCTACTCCAAGGTCTGCTATATGGTACTTGCCTGATAGATCATTATCATATTCATGAATTAATGTTGCAAATAACCAGCTCATGCCTCCCTCTGCTTAGGCTTTGGGTGGCTTTCCATTAAATACATGCAGACCATTTCGCAAGGCATTGGGGCAGCACCCCCTCCTCACTTTTCTTCCCACGCACATTGCATTCCAGCTGCATATCACCTTAGACCTCACCAAGCTCTTTCATCGTTGACAGCATTGCTAGAAATGTTTGTTTCCACAGTTTTTACCTAGAAATCTCTTACCCCTGGGAGGCTCCATAGGCTTTTTCATAAAAATTTCCCCAACACACCCAGTGTACCCCCTCCTTCTGTGTACCCTGGAGCCAATCCCTCTCTCCTCTGTGCTACTATGTAACTTACATATCTTTCATTGTCGCATTATCAAATTGTATTATAACCTTATTTACTAATATCTCTGCTTCCTTTATTTGACTATAAACTCCTTAGGACATCTTTACTCATTTTTTTAAGCAGGATGTGTCCTTTAGTTGGTATATTATTATTGAATTGATAAGCTTTAAAAAAAAAAACCTTTAAGTGGTACATAAAATAAGGCTGCATCTTATAATTAATGGTGCCATAAAGCAATGAAATACAGTACCTAGTAGTATAGTACAGGGTGTTCAATAATGTGTGTTTAATCAATGTACCTAGTGCATAATAAATGTTCACTTAACATTTTTGAATAGCATTCTGAATTAAGATGTTTAATTCAGAGCTGTGAAAACAATACAATATACAGATTAGGCATATTCTCTTATAATTTGATCTTTTTTAATGAGGTCAAATTCCTCCTCACAACTAAATGGACCTGATAGCACAGAGAAATGAATTAATAGTAAAGAAATTCATTGTGATATTTCAAGAAGAAAAAAACCCTCCTGGTGACTCTTCAAGTACACAGCCTTAGGGTGAACGCCCTTTGTCTGAACAGTGGAGGGGTCTGTCAGAACGTCTGGCCCAGAGAGCAGGCCCGGAGAGACGCTTCTGGGAGCAAATGGGAGAACCAACCAGGTAGAGGTGGGGATGGTTCACAGGAGTCAAGGTCAATAAAGCAGCTACAAGGGCAAGTGGACTTGTTAATAGTAATGTCCCAGTCCTCCTGGCACCCAGGAGCAAACTCAGAGTGTTAATGGGAGAACCAACCAGGTAGAGGTGGGGATGGTTCACCTGAGTCAAGGTCAATGAAGCAGCTACAAGGGCAAGTGGACTTGTTTTGCTGCAGGAGCAAACTCAGAGTGTTGCCTGCCTTATTTCTGGGTGGTGGCCTGACTGAGATTTTAAAATTCTTTCCAGAAAGCTTGGTATTTCTGCTCGCAGGCTAATGAAAAATTGAGCAGAGAAGGGAATCAGTGGGCAGATCCTGGGACCAGAGAAACATCCGGAGCGTGGAGGGAGCAGCAGGAAGACTTCCATGGAAGGAGAGGAGAAATCCGGAAGGGAGGCTGTCATTGCACACCTGATCCCGTCCGCCCGTCCACCTGCTGCTCTGGCAAAAGGAGGAAAGGCCCTCAGAGGCTCCAAGACGGAAACCGGACCCAAATATGGCGAGGAGGCTAGAACAGTGGGAATCCGATCGTTAGCTGGGCCTTGTCAGCACAGTGCTGGGACCTCACACCTCCTGGGCCCACATGCCTGGCAGCACTGTACTGTGTGAGAAAAAACGTCAGAATTGATGGAGGCCCAGGTACGGCTATACTGATGACGAAAACTGTGCAGAACACCTAGAATCTGGTCGCTCTGGCTCGGAGTCCAATTACTCACCCTGTATGTGCTGGCAAGCAGCAGCTCCATCTTCCGAGTGAAACAGATGAAGAGAACTTTAAGAATCTAAGACATTAATATCAGCTGCTGAGCAAAACCTCTAATCCCTGAGCAGTTACCCTGCCCTTGAGGTTCTGTTTGACTGGCATCTCCATGCACCTGTGCTTCGCTGCTTTCTGCAGAGATAAGAAGTGCTGCAAAATACTCTTGTGAAAGCTGCCGTGATCCTTCCCTACCTCTGGTTTGTTTTGCCCATCAAGGAACTGTGCATTCGTTGTTAGAAATGCTAACATCTATGGTTGCATAAACAAGAGACAGATAAAAAGGACTATGAAGCAATGTGCCAGGAGCTGTTAGTATGTTTGTTTTAGCAATCCCAGAACCTAAACATGTATGCATTGTTTATATAGAGGCTGTACAGAAGAGAGGACAATATTTATGTGGCATATTTGGAAATGGACAAATGCAGACACAAATCTTTCAACAAACAAATATATATTCACATATACCTATCCCAATATATTCCTATGTATATTCCCATTAGGGCCTGGGAAATATTAAAGAATTTAGAAAGACTTTAAATTTAAAGAATTTAGAAGTCCTTTTATGCCTAATGACACACCGGGATATTAGTAACACGTTCACCATGACAAAAACTTGAAGGAATAAACCCCCTCACTGCATCCTTAGAACTCCTTGGGTTTAAGCTTAAAGCAACTCTGACTTAAACATACTTTGGATGACTTACTCTTCCCTTCACCTTTCGGACAAGATGCTGCTAAAATAACTGTGGAGGAATAAAAAGTACTGAATTGAAAGACAGTAAGTGTAACTTCTGGGGCCCCCTACACGGAGTCATGCCTTGGTTTCCCCAACAGACAAATGGGGGTTATAAAACCTGTCACAAAACAGAATAATGTTGCAAAACAAAGCAACCTATTATATTTTCTATGTACCCTAATAGTCAATTTGCAAATTTAAATTGTAAAATGTTACTATTTCTAACGGTATGAAAAACATCAAACACGTAAGGATAAACATAATGAAAGAGGTGCAAGACCTTTCACAGAAATCTATAAAATTGTATTAAGAGAAATTAACTAAGTCCTAAATAAATGGAGAAATGCACCCTGTGAACAGATTGGAATACTAAAGTATAGAGAGAGATACAAAGAGCCAAAAATAACCTCGAAAATGTTGAAGAAAAAAGGTGGGGAGACCTATACTCTCTGATAAAAAAAACATTATAAAGTTACAGTAATTAAGACAGGGCGGTAATGTAACCAGGACAGGCACAGAACAATGGAACCAAACCAAGATTCCAGAAATAAGCACAAGCCAGCGCACATACACACACACACATGCACGCACGCGCGCACACGCACACATACACGCACGCGCACACACGCACACATACACGCACACACACGCACACACACACACACACACATGCACGCACGTGCACACACGCACACATACACATACACGCGCGCACACACACACACACACACACACACACACACGGGTGTTGCAGTTTTTACGAGGTTGGCACTGCAGAGCCGTGGACAAAGGACCATCTTCACAGTAGGTGGGCGGGGGCCGCTGACGGTGCATGCTGGGAAAATGAAAATGGGCCTCTGCCTTCCACCATACACAAAATCCAACTCGAGGGAGTTGCAGATTTAATGTGAACCCTAAACCTGCAAAGCTGCTAGTTCGGAATAGAACCACCTCTATGAGCACAGGGAGGCAGAGCTGTCTTAGCACAAGACAAAGTTAAAGGAAAAACCAGAAACGAGGGCTCTGAACATCAAAAGGCATGAGCAGCACATGTGACAAGCACAGGGTTAAACTTCTTATTAAGTAAATGCCTCTCAGAAATAAATACAAAAATAAAAATTACCACCCTACCCCCAAAGCTTTCTCAGGCTATTTCAGTGCCAGTTGGAAACCTACCAAAATGCGCTCTCACTTACCTCCCCAAGAACCCGGTTAAATCCACGGAGAAATTTCACCATATCTGGCCCATGGACAATGCATACCCTTTAACAGCTTTTTTTAACATAATAACCCAATTTCATTATCATTCTTTTTTCAATTAACTCACACAAAAATGGAACAGTAAAAGTGTTGTTTCAGATCTTTACTCTTTCAATAATGTGCAACATGAACATAATAGTGTTAAGAAGTCAGAAATAACACGGTAGCTAAAGAAAATGTTTATATTTGCAAAATTTCAACAATTATTTTTCCTAGGTTCCCCCAAATTAGCATATTTGTTAATCAAATTAATTAAGAAGCTTTTCAAAATAAAAGCAATGTTTTAAATAAATATATTTTCATAACCATAGAACATTTAGTTCTGTTGGAGGTAACAAACATATTACACTCAAGTACATTATGAAAATATTAGGGCAAAAATGATCTAGATGCAATTATAAATGTACCCTAATTAGTCATTTGCTTCTTTTTGTGTTTTCCTGCATGTGTTAAAATCATGTCATTAACATTCTGTAATCAATTAGTTCTTAAACCAATAGGAAGATGTTATCTGACCCACAGAATTTATACCAGCTCAACGTGATGACATATTGCTTGAACAATATCATTAAGTTTCAATTTAGCACTCTAAATTAAATGCTATCAAAGCCAAGACCCCCCAGACCCTCCAGCTTCCCGTGTCTGCTATAGAAAATGAATGCTAGGCTCCCAGTTTGGAAGAATGAGACCTTCCTTCCTACAAATCTCAAACTTCAAATTTTGTAACTAAATATTATTAAAATTCTAATTACAAAAGAACTCTTACTGTGCTTCTGAGTACCACATAGCTGGGTATAAATTCACTAATGATCAGCTTTTCCACAGAAGTTATATCTGTTAAGTACACAACTACATAAAGCTTTCTAAAAATTGATTTTATTTAATAAATATTTTAGAGTTCACTAACTGAAGAAATGACTTTTCTGATCTTTTCAGAAATTTTGATCATTTGTTTATCTTTCGTTCATTTTTATTTCTACTGTGATTGTTAGGAATTTTGCTAATCTATGTGTAATCTATCAAAATATCTATGAATTGGCAAATTTAGCTTCCTTTAATAATAAGAAATGTCAACATTTCTGAATTAAATGACAAAGGCCGAGAAGTAAAGTTAAATGCAGCAACAGGTCCTAGTGAGTGCTCTTTAGAATTTTAGGTTAACAAATTTTTCCTAAAATGATACATTAATAACTTACTAAATGAATAATGCAATACAGCATGGATTTTAACAGGATCTCAACCTCCCTCTGTATTTCTGTCTCTCTCCCTGAAAGACACACACACACACACACACACACACACACACACACACACACCTACCCACATCCATACATGGGTGTGTTCACACATCTCAGAATTTAAAACACTACTACTAAGCAGTTTAACTTAGATAAATTAACTACATTAAAATACTGACATTGTGAAAATACCTGTTTACGTCCAACATCCCAAAGACGGCATCTTTTTGTGAAAGTCTAAAAAGCTTCAGGAAAGAAAACCAGAAGGAAAAACAGAGTCTTTGACACAAAGGATGGTGCCCTCGTCGGCGCTGCTCAGGGTCGCAGCTTCCCATTCTCCTCGCCCCCTTCCTTCTCCTCGATGGCTTCCAGGCTGCGCTTGCTCTTGGCCTCGGCCGCGCTGCTGGGGGCTTTGCTGAGTCCGCAGGACAAGCACGCCAGCTGGATCTGCTTCATGTTTTCCAGAGCTTCGTTCTTCGCGCTCTTCAGCAGGTCTCCTTGGCCCTACAAACACGCACCACAGAAGACCGTTATGAGCCAGGCACACCTGGTGACTCTGCTCAGCGAGGAAACAGCCCCAGGCCCGGGAACAGTATTCCAGGTTCGCCCCATGGTTCTGTCTAGCAATGCTCAGGGGCTCTAAGCACAGAAATCCACCTGAGCCTTCCCACTCGGCTCTGTGGTTGCTGGCAGCCCCTGGACATTCCTATAGTGGGGGACAGCCCCAGGGACCCTGCCCTGAAGTGCTGAGGATGCCAGCCCTTCCATCCCCACGACTGAGTCTTTGCACACTGTGGCCCTCGCCCTGCCCAGGCCGGCATCCTAGCACGGGAGGGACAGGGAACCCTGCCTTTGAGAACTGAACTGCGTCAGCCTCTCGGACTGCAAGAGCTCACAAAGCAAAGCTGTCTGTGAAGTAAACCACACGCCTGATGCTTGGTTAACTGGTGTTTTATATGTTGAGTTGTCCTTGCAATCTGCCTTTTGATCAATTATTTTTTAAATATATTGTCATTGATTTCAGAGAGGAGGGGAGAGGGAGGGATAGAACCATCAGTGATGAGAGAGAATAATCGATCAGCTACCTCCTGCATGGCCCCAGAGCCTGTAGTGTTACCCAGGGCCTGACACGGCCGCTCTTCAAGGCAAATTGTGCTCTACAAAGCACACTGCAGCCTCCCTGTCACTGTCACCCAGGGAAACACACAGATGAGAAGAGAGTCATTCCCCCGAGGCACCACGTGACAGGGCTCGGAGATGGAACCCAGAGGGCCAGGGTGCAGGGCACACCAAGAAGAACACATTGGCAGGAGCAGAGCCAGTGTCAGTTTTGCTTTTAGCTCCAACAGTTTCTTCTTGGGCCACGTTTTCTTTCATAGAAATGCAAACAGCTTCTGCCTCCCTCACAGTCCTAACAATGAAAGAAAATATGCTGAAAAGCCACTCGTGACGTAAACACCCACAAGTAAACTATGCTACAAGGTAATATGAAAAGCACCCAATGTGGTCTATTATAACAAATACTTTGGTACTGTGCATATATTACATACATTTTACTAACTTGTTTAAAATGTGTCTGCAAGAGTCTATTTAGAGAGATGCATATTGCTACTATTTTTACAAATGGAAAGATTCCTGTGAAAATCCGAATTGTATTAATACAGAGAAAATGCCTGCACTCATTTTGAGAGAATTACTTTTAAGAGCTCCCTTTTCTTTTACTTTTGAAATTTTCATCAAGAATTTTAAAGGCATTCACAAAAACAAAATTGGCATCTTCCTTCATTGCAAGAGACCAGTGAAACATGGAAATATATCAAGCTTGAAAGTGCTCGTGAACTCAGAATGCTCTCACATCCGTTCCCTGCAGCAGGTTACAAAACCAATCTAATTAGTCAGTCAGAGTGTCATCTCGTCAGCCTGAGAGGTGGCATCCAGGCTGAAATGCCAGACGCTGCCAGTTCTGCTCAATAGAAGCCAGTCTCTCCAGGAAACAATGGCCAATAGGAGAGGACAGTGCGTGCCAGTGCACAGAACAGCTCCATCCCCTCCTGCTAGCGGAGACAACGTGTCCTGGTGGGACGACAGGAGCAGAAAACAATGGGGGAGACATTAAACTGTCAACTAATAGAAGGAGAACAAGTGCAAGGCGACCTTGTGAAGAGTTACACTGAACCATTTATGAAAAATTGTTTTCTATTTTTTAATAGGACAAATAGAGGTCCTCTTTCTATTCTGTGGTTCAAGGAATCAACTCCTGGGTCCCTGCTGGTTAAGGCACCAGAACCAGGAAAGACTCATCCTCAGAAAAACTGCAGAGAGGGTGAAGTTTGTTGTTAACAGCCCCCGTTCCGGCATTCCTCTGAGTGCTGACTTTGGCCCAGTTTTTGTGCAGTGATTTCCCCTGGCCAATAGCATCCCTCTCTTCTCTGTGGCACTCCTCAAACTCCTAACTCGACAACTTACACTATATCTCTCCCTGAAAACACCGCTGTCCTGTGTATCATTTCCCACAAGATGTGTCAGGTGTTCAGATCAGCTAAGGCATTTCCAGGTGTTGGTGTGCAGCAGGCATTTAAGGAGTACTGTTACAGGGCGCTTCTAAAGAATATGTTCCGAAATGTGCAGAGGTCTTGGGAAAGGAGCAGGAAGGAGAGAAACCAGGGAGAATGAATCCTACTTGGTTGTATGTAAATTGAAATACCTCTTGGGAACTAAAATAAGTTTGGGGTTGTCATGACCCAGAATGTCAAATGAATGAACAATTTGATCACTGAACACTCAACCTGGAAGAAATGTGAGGAGCTGCCAGTGGTACAGTATACGAGCAATCTCGGGGAATGGTAGTTCCCACTGGTACTAGGGATGCTGGGGGGGGGGGGGGGGGTTAGAAAGACTTCTTTAACCCAGAAGAAGGTGAGAGTAATAAGAGGCAACTCTGGCAGACCGATGCAGGTGGGACAATGACTACCAACAGTCGCCAGAGCAGTGGTCTTCAATCTGGCCCCAGAGTCATTTGGCTTCTGAATGTAAGAGTCCATGAAAATCCCAACACATTTAGAAAGTAACACTTGGAATTATAGAAAACCACAGAGAGATCACGATAGTGATTTTAAATAAAAAGTTAGCGATGATTAATTTTTGATAAAGAGACATTAGGCATTCATAACCAACTCCTTCCAACTGCATTAAATTGCAATTAAAATACATTATCTAGAAATCAGGAAATATCTGATGTAATTTAGATTGAAAATGGGGCTGCCCTACAATACCACCACAATTTTTATTACTACTAATAAATGTATGAGTGAAAATAAAATACTCTCACAACACTGAATAGAAGCTCACATTTATTGAATACAAGATGCGGAGTACAAATCAATTGGCCCACATTATCTCATTATATCATAACCATAAAAGGGACTGGAATTCTAAATGTAAGTTACTATGAGTTATATATTTGTAAGTTCTCTTAGTAATATATTTTATTATCCATCAAAGACATTAAGGATTTTTGTTCTTACTGAGAAAGGCAGTCCCCTCCCTGCCCCCACTGTTTGAAAATAGTTTGGGCTACAATCTGGTAGAGTAACTTACGAAAGACACCCGTGGCTCCTTCACACCCACTTTCCCATGAACTGCACTCCCTTTATGATGTCAGCGCACGGAAGAGCAGGAGAACATCTTGACTGGTGTCCTTGTCGCATGTGAAGGAAATGCGTGGGTTGTCTCCGAGAACACCACAAGTATTTAAAGCAGCTCAGAGACTCTGGGAATGGGGAGACCCTCACAAATACACACTCCACGCGTAAACAAATGCGGCTCTGTCTCTACGCAGGCGTGTATGGGTATTTTCCAGCACACACTCAAGAACAGACTGAGTCCCTGATATTCTTTCCCTGTGAGAGTCCACACGCACAGCTACAGTCAACCCTGGATGATGCTGCAGCGTGGTAGATAGTAGCTCTTTGTTTGTTTCCAGCTAGTTTTCGGTGGAAAAGACCATACTCTGGTGGGCTATGCATAATTACCATCTTACTAGTTCAAAAACCATGCTTTTGGGGGGAATTTCTGTATTACCTAAAGAGATTAAATATTTTACTCTGAAGAGACGGAAACAACTATTACAATGCCCTTTATTTAAAAAATTAAAATAGCAGATGTGTTGATGTCACGAAAGATCTAAGTCTCTTAATGTTACATTTCTGGAACATTGGGTAAAACTAGGCAAAGATGGCCTGGAATTCTGGCTCTCTAGAATGAAAACGTAGCTGTGTAGGGAATGTATACAAGATGGTAATAAGTTAGAGGGCACAGAGGTGCAGCCATTAGATTATGTACTGAATACCTTAATTGCACAAAAATAGAAGTCTCCATTGCATTTAGTAATCAATGCTCAGATTTATTATTTTCAACACCTTGACAACCAAATATTTGAATATTTGAAATATTTGAATTCTACTCACTACTTAAAAAGTTGAATTTTTACTTTATGAACACTCAAGAAATATAGATGACAAGTTGTAAAGTAGCTCTGGTCTAAGAGTATTGGCTTAATGGAGCTTTTATGTTACTCTTCTGAAATTCTGCATTCAAAACACTGCTTTTCAAAATTTTACAATGTAATGACATTAATTTATTATATTTTTATAGGAACAAAAATGGAATTACATTGAACATATTCACCTGAGCCATTAGATTTTATAGCTTTACATAAAGTTCATTTTTTAAAATTAGTTTTGTGACTGATACATTTTAGTATTGGTCATAAACTCAATTAATCAAATGTTTCTAAAGACTATGGAAATAAAAAATAAATAAGTCTTCTTAATATCTGAGAATCCAGTTCTGAAGGAAGAATAATTTATAAAGTATAGAAGATATTTCAAAGAAATTTTAAGAATAATTTCATGCCAAAGAGAAAACAACACTGCAAAGTAAAGCAAAATGCCATATTCAATAAACATACAAAAGGCTATAAAATACTGATGTTATACAAAATGAAAATTGTATCCGAAGTTAAATTCGAAAGCATATGTTTAAAGACCTGACAAATAAGATCTTTTCAACATTTCTTTCTCAGCTATCTTCCTACATGGTTACAATATCTTTCTCATCAAAAAATCTTGACTAACTTACATGTTGAAGAAATGAAGAACCCTATTTGCTTCAAAATAATAACTAACTGTGTTTTATGTAGAAACCCTTTGTATTAAAAGGTATTTAAAAAATAGGCTTAAGCCCAGCTGGCATGGCTCAGTGGTTGAGCGTCGACCTATGAACAGGAGGTCATGGTTTGATTCCCGGTCAGACCTGGGCTGCAGGCTCAATACCCAGTGGTGGGCGTGCAGGAGGCAACCCATCAATGATTTTTCTCTCATCATTGATATCTCTCTCTCTCTCTCTCTGCCTTATGAAATCAATAAAAATATATTTTTTAAAAAGAAAACATCATATGTATTGCAATATGTAAATGCCCAGGCAGGCACACAAGGAGCCATAAT